ATTTCTCTCTCTCTCTCTCTTTCAAGTCAAGAAGAAAAGAAAGAAAGAAGGGGAAGGAAGAAAAGGAAAAGGAAAGGAAAGGAAAGAAATCCTATGAAAAATGTAAAAACATTAGGGTAACTTTTCCATCACAGTTAAAAAAAAAACTAAGCTTCCTTTCTTCTCGAAACATTAAAATTACCATCGTGCGAGAGGAGCGGTCACGAATATTTCCTAAATCGAGAGAAAAGCTCTAAAGTTCAAGCATTCTCTTACTCAGAACTTTCTGGGATTCTTCGGAAGCTCTTTATTCTTCGTCGTTGGTAATACGATTAGTCTTCTCTTACTCATATAACTTCTCATAATGAAATAATAAACATCCATTAGTCATGAAAGAGAGAAAAGATACTTTAAAAAATTTTATCATAAGGCTAACTGAGAGCGAGCTTTTTAATAATAGTATAATATACTCTAACTCGTTCAAAGAAGAAACAAAAAATAATAATAAAAAGAAAAAGAAAAAACATGCTACTTAATGAAAAAAAAAAGAACGAATTTGTGTGAAAACAATGTTAATGTATTATGATTAATATTTTGTCAGATAATATGGTGGTCAGGATTGCGTCAAGTTACACGAATATATTTTTTATTCGAATATAAGTAATAATTCGTTTTTATTTTAAATAGAGATTGGGTTAAGCATTAAATGATGTTGGATAATAACATTTGGATTGAATTGACTTTTAATCGATCGAAATCAATAAAAAGCTTATTATTATGCTATTATAATCGGTGCTAATGTAAAACCTATTAATCTGCTTTCAGATAAATAATTTGTTAATAAACAATAAAGACCAGTAATTGATACGTATAGATTAATCAATTAAATTCAAAATAAAAATAATTTCATCACTTTTCATTAATTCGATTAATATTTTTTCTATGAAATAAATTCTCAGTATTTATTAATATTTTTGTTCAATATATTAAATGTTTGTTATCAAACGTTTGTTATTGATAATCCATAAAATATAAGCGGTTGAAATGAAAAATAAATAAAATCATCATGCTTGTACCATCAAGGATGAATATTGATATCAAAAAATACTGACCAAATATTTATGATATAATAAAAAAACATTTTATATCGAATAAATAGTATACTTTGTAACATATAATAACGTAATAAGCTTCAGTATACTTATCTATGATATGAAATTAAGACACGTTGGTCGTTCGATCGTAAAACAGATGAAATCTTCTTAGAAATAATCTTATTAAAAGTAAAGCTGGATCATTGGAGAAATACTTGTCTTTCACTTTTACACGAGAGAGAAATAACTAATACGATTAAATTTTCTTACCATAAAGAAAGATAGAGAGAGAGAAAGAGAGAAAGAGAGAAAGTTAATACAACGAGAAAATATTAAATTTTCTGCGTAGTTTAGTTTGCTTAAAGAAAAAGCATAAAAGAAGTTAATAAAGCTAATTAAATCTTATTCAATAATTAATAAATTCAAAGGGGTGGAACCAGTTTCATCGATGTATATAATACTTCAAATCGTTCGTTAGATTTTTCGTATTATTCTCTTTCTATCTTCCTCTCATTTTATCATTATTGCGAAATAAAAATATATATCTTTATTGTTAAATTATTCGAAAAGTCCGAAATAGCTGGCAGCTTTTCTACTTATGCTTTTAGCGACACGAAACGAGGTTAGGTAAATCGTTTTGTTGAATTCGTCTTTGTCGTTTATAGCACACCAGCTTGTACAGTTTCATTTCTGGCATAGCATAGCACACACACACACACACAGACAGGCAGATACGCATACGAGGATAAAGGAGAAAAAGAATAAGATGAAGGAAAATAAGCACACGACGAGTCGGCAGATTTGGCCTTAGTTTTACTATCTTTCTTTCTCTCTCTCTTTTTTTTTTTTCTTGAAGTATCTTTAGAGTAACGAGAGATAAAAAACGTAAAAGCTTCCTTTCTCATTTGTATCTCTTGAAGAAATAAAGTGAAACAATGACTTTTCTCTCTTATTCTCTCTCTCTCTCTCTCTCTCTCTTTTGTTATCTGATATATTCTTCAAACACATTTCTAATTATTGCATAACGAACGATCATCTGTAGTAGAAGATAATCTGATATCCTGAATATTATTTTTTGTACCTTTTCCAAACAATTTTTCTTCTTATTTAATTTTTATTGTATTGAAATATGTGTGTTGTTTAGGTGTTAAATTTGGAAATAAATATTTAGTTTAATTAATTAAAGAAGAATGAGAATAAGAAGAATAAGAAACAGGAGAAGAGATCAATTCATCGTTGTGATTTTCGTAATTACAGGAATACGGGCTCGGTTTAAAACAAGTAATTCCATTCATTGTTTGAAAATGACAATAGAAACTCCTCTACGTTTACCATCAAAACGATTGTTAATTTAATTTCTTAGTCTTATTCGTTAATCTCTTTGATCGTTCATGGGACTTGAATAATGTTACTCACACAGAAAAGCTTTCTTTGTAGAGTCACGAACCACCAGTTTTATTAAAAAAGATAAAGAAATAACAAAGGATAAGGGATATCCAACATTTCAAACAATTGTTATACTTTTGATACATACTTATTTAAAGAGTATTGAAATTAATAATATTAAAATATCTATATACGTTAGTATAAATATATACATTGATATRAGATAATTTTGTTATTAATTATTTGGAAAAAATGTCATTTAAAAAAAAAAAATATTAGATTGACCGATAGGTCTGGCCAATTTTTGTCGTTAATTTAC